AGATGTGGCATAAGTCTCTCTTACGTCCTTCCCCGCATCCCAGGTCCCAGCTGCTTTGGGCCACGCTGGGAATGACTAAGAGACCTCACCTAAACAGGCAGCAGTTTGTGGGAAAGGAGCTGCCATAGAAATAACTTCGGAAGACAAGACTCAGCTCTTTAGCTTCAGGAACAAGGACTTCCCAATGTGGCTGAAAACCATGGAAAAACCTCATAATTTCCGTGGTTACCACAGCTGTTCCTTCAAAGGTGCTCACGTAGAGGGCATCCTCCCCGCCTCCCTTGTACATCAGTAGAGGTGGTGCTTTGGCTGCACCACCACCACTGTTGTTCCTCAGACAGGTTTGTGACACTTTCCTACCAAGACCACATTTTGGCCAGGTGGTCCATAGGGTGGGCAACCAAACGTGCTCCTCACCCTTGTGGAGACCCTTGTCTGCGCTAGGCCAGATGTGGAAAGGGAGCAACTCTCTCAAGTGATTTGGGCCAGGCAGAAAACCACACTGGAGTTTCACGGGGGCTTGGAGGCTGGGCTGGGGTGCTCCTGGAGCCTTGAGAGCATGATGGGACGAACGTGAAGGAGGAGTGTTGGGCACAGCAGGTAAGGATGGGGCTCAGGAACATGCCGAGCTAGAAAATACTGAAATATGAACGGCTCAGCACAGTGGCTAGCAGGAGAAAAAGTCCTTCAACAACCTCCAGATTACAAATGTTTTCATTTCAGATTTTCCTCCTTGCAGCTGACCTGCCCAGGGAAGTTCTGACACCTCTCCAAGGGACAGCAGCACCTCTTCTGTTGGTGCCACTGGCTAAAAGGCAAAGTGTTTCTTTGTAAACTGGGGGTAGACCCTAACAGAAAGGCTGCATTATACATACTGGCAAGACAGGTAGAGGGTCTGGGATGTTACTCTGACTTATTTGTTCTTCCCCATTTTGTAGACCATTTTCTTTGCAGAATCTACCAGGCAAACATACTTTGTGATGGGCAGGTTATTAGTTCCACGTTAAAAGTACTGCAACGCAGGCAGCTGGATGCGAAGCAGCCTGAGAAGACGGTACGGAGGAGACCCGGACCTCACAGAACCCATCCACAGGCCACACGGATGGGTCAATAGAGCAGGAATAATTACAGTGCTAAACAGAGGGATGAACCTTTTGGGATAACGACAAATCTCAGAGTCGTGATTTCTGCATGTCTGATATACGTTATTTTAAGGATGAAGACTATGGTGACACCAAGCCTGTCTGGAATGCAGCTAACTTGAAATTAAATCATGTGGCATCTGTCTGAAAGGGTTCGTTCGGGAGCTACAGAAGGTCACAAAAGCAGAAAAGGATGGGAAATGAGAAGATTCACGTTTTGTTTACAATGCTCAGGTCTGAGAGTATAAAATATTTACAAATAACTCTTCTCTTTTCCCTGTCCTCTGTAGCTTCTCTGTAAGAAGTACTGTAAACAGGGCTCTGAAAGAGTCACAAAGGCAAAAAGGGCATCTTGCTTTCATCATGTTCAAACGACTTTTCTATCTATCACGTCTTGAAAATAACCATCAAAACAATTTTTTGACTGAGTATTGGGCTTTTCCATTTCAGATGATTTACTGTAAGAGGGGTGTGCTTTATGAAAGAAATGTAGATTTTTTTTTTTTTTTTTTTTTTTTTGTGATCATGAGGAGTAAACCACTGAGAGCATCTGCTGTGGTTTGGTGCCGGAGGGACCTCCCATCTCCTGGCTCGCAGAGGGAGGGGAGGGCTCCGCTTTCAGCGCTGCCTGCGTTCGGCACCTCGCCCGTGGGGAGGGGGAGGACGGGACCTACAGACGCCAGCTCCCAGCCGGCATTTCCGAACTGAACAGGCTGATTTTCTGTCTGGCTTCTCACTGGAAAGTCAATGTATTTTGCACGGGAAAAACGCAAATGCTTTTTTTTTTAAGCCGTGAACGCGGGGGCAGCAGCCCCCTCGGTGCTCTCAGAGGCACTGATTCAGGCACGTGTAATGGGCATGTTCATTCACGTTCAGTTTTACATCCCCAAATTCTCTTCCTTTCTTGATAGCTCTGAACATCCCGCCAGGCTTACAAGGCACCTGTCAATTTGGCTGAGTTTGATTTTTTTCCCCTCATATTACTGCAGTTAACTGTTTCTGACAGTACTGACAGGCAGTAGGCTGGGGAGGACACCCACACAAAATCTTTAATTTTGCTCTTTACGTTGAGAAAGTCAGACAAGCAGCTCTATCATGAGGCTTCAGGAGTCTTCCCCCTGCTCCATTTGGTTTTCTGTGCCACTGCACTACCTGTCTTTCTGTCCTGGAGGGGCAGTCACATCTGCATTTCTCTCTCACATCTGCATTTCTCTCTCACATCTGCATTTCTCTCTCACATCTGCATTTCTCTCACTGGTGAGGCAGGTTACCTTTCAAGCGAAACCGAATTTCCACATGTTTTTTAAGTGACACTCCTAATTAAATCTTTTCTCATCTATATTCCCTCTTTTTCTTTGCATTTTATGAAGCAGAGAAACCCAAGACAATCTCTAATGGTATTTTAATTTTTCTGTTTTTGGAAACACTGCTGGTTTTCTTTACCCAGAAAGCAAACATTTTAAAGAAAACCCTCACTTCGCTTAGTTGAAGCCGTTTTGCTTAAAAAAACACAACCAACTACTAAAGCTAACCATAACACATGGATGCATTTATGGGCAGGGCACTCCAAGCAAAAAAACAGGAAAATAATTTGAAGTAAAAACAGATTAAGAGATATACAGAGGAAGTAATTCTCCTTTAAATATTTTCAGCAAAATTTTTTTGAATCCCTGTATTAACCCAGTATACAACTTTTTCTCGCAGCCTTTTTACACCCTACTTTTGTGGATTAAACTGTATAACTAAATAGTCTATTTGGATAATGCAATTTCACAAGACCAACCAGACACGTCTTCTGGTGCCATTTCTCCTTTACTAGCACAGCTTTTGTTTCCATGTCTTGTTACAAACTTTTGCAGGAGAAGGAGGAAAGTGGGCTCAAGGCCTCCCTTCTGTGTTGGTCATGAAAATAAAATTATTTCCATATAAAACTGCTAGTGTGAATATAATAAACTTTGATGCTTTTGGCTGAAATCAAGGAAAATATATACTGTGGAATATATGCTGTGGAAAGACTCTTTTTCACGGATGTCTCAGCTCTGATTGAATCCGCTTCAGCCAGGGAAGTGTAGAGATAAAAAGATGCTGCTGTGCCATCAGCACTCACCCTAACGCTTCCAAAGCCGCTGGAAAAATCCACCGAGAGCGTTAAAGGCAAAGGCACCAGCAGGTACCACCAGCAGGCATCTGAAAAAGCACTGGTTCGTGCCCGCTGGGTTTTTATGCTCCCACCTTGGCCGACAGCAGGCGTGCCTGTCTGAGAGCAGGTACCTGTGGTCTGATCCAGCGTAGCCACCCGCGTATTTCAAAGGATTTTCAAATACTGTGGCCACTGGTCAGCTCTGGACAAACTTTCTAGAGAAGCCGGACCTTACCCCTCACCTTAACCTTGATTTTGCCTTTTATTCTTCTGCTTCCAGAAGGACTGGATTTTAACTTTTGCATAGGGCACTGAACCGTCATGGGACAGGGCTTCTTGTCCCTGAGAAGTGCATTTGCCACAATCCTATCATGGACTGAGCCTCTGGGGTTTTGATGGAGTTGTGCTGCTTCAGCACAGAATGAAATCTCACGGCCTTCTGACACACTGGTCTTCAATCCCCCACAACATCTGTAGCCCTAAAGAGGTGAGCTGGCAGCATCAACGCGACCCTAATCCACTGGGATGATGTTTCACGTCGCTCATACCCTCATTGCTGGCTAGAACATTGCAGATTGTGGCACGTGCCTGGGGCTGGGGAGGAGCAAAACGGAGATGGGGACCGACCCATTGCATGAAACGTCTATCAAAGTCCCAAACACTTATCTGAATTACCACTAAATAATTTGGATGCTTGCCTAAAATAATGTTTTTTTGCACTCCTAAGTCTCTTAAATTTTTTTTTTTTTTTTTTTTTTTTGAGTACAGAGATGCAGGAAGGGGAGTTAAGACCAAGCAGCGACAAATTCCTCTGAACGGGAAGAGGAATAAATACACAAAAAGGAAATTATATCAGACTAGGAAAGGGTTAAAAAAAGGTCTCAACTTCTTTAGGCTACTAAATATAAAGTTCAATTTCTGCTTTCCCCAGCAGCCTGCTACCCTGGCCCCAGGGGCATCCCAGTCCTTAGCAACTCTGCACTGTCTCGACTCGACTTCCCCAGCACCTTGCATCTCCACCACCATCCATCTACCACAGCACCAGCAAGCTCTGGGTTAACAGTTCAAACCCCAACTTTCTTGTAAATTCGACCTCATACACTCTTCTCTTTCTGGTCCAGCATGACAAGGACCCAGACCACCATTATTCACACTAATGTTTTTACTGTACCACTGCTGCCGGTTCATAAACACATCTCCTGGGTGTTTCTCCTGGCCATTGCCAGAGACAACCTGAACAGTCACAACCTGACACCGCCTTTGAATAGAGGCTCCCAGTTGACGTTAGCAGGAATTAGAGCCGGCTGGAAACGACTCTTCAAAAGTCAAGCATCTCGTTTAAAAGAAAAGAAAACAAAACAAAACATCCCGTGCAAAAAAAAAAAAAATTCCAGAGCTATTTAAAACGAGACTTGCATTTTGTTTTGCCTTCAGGACAAAGCCTTTGCCCTGCGTGAGGGTTGTCGTGTGACTTCTCCCTTCAGA